GGGGTGCGCGCTACAGTTGATCCTGTATCCTGCAGCTTCTCCTCGCACGTTTCCATGGCAACGCCAGCAGTATCCATGAGAGGCACGCAGATGCTTTTGTGTGTTTATGGAGATGGCACTAAGCCAAAGCCGCCACCCACTGCTGATAACTGAGAAACCGCAAGATTCCCAGAATGCACCAGTGTGGTGCATATTTTCATAACTCACCTGTGTAAACTCTGTCAAGGCAAGGTTGCATATCAGGGGCGTGGCCTCTTTGACTGACAGGTGGATGGTGGGTGTAGCTGCTAGCTCGTGCTAACTGGACTGTGGACGTGTTTGTGTTGCTGTGAGGTTTCTGCATGAACAGACGTCTTTTATTGTTATGAATGAGCAGCTACCTGTGACTGTGACAGTCCCTCTGTGAGTTACAGGCTGTGAGGAACCCCATCCTGTTTGTGCACACTCTGCTTGAAACTAGTGTAGTTTTTATTTTTCCGCCTGTTTGATGAACTGCGTGCGGACAGCTGCACAGAGACTCATTACTCAGTGATGTGATTGCTGTCTGCAGCAGAGCTGAAGCTGCTGTGTGGAGAATCTGGATATTTTCCACAGTCAGACGGGCTCTGAGCCCCGAGAGGCTCGGGTCAGAGAGCTGCCCGTCACGTCACACAGACCGGCTAATATCATGTCTGACTGCACGGCGCCTCGATCAGGAGACACGAGGGGAAGGAAAGAGGCAAACAAACCTCTCCTATTGGTCAGTTCTTTGTTTTAATCTAAAGAGATTTCCAGTATACCACAGTGATCCTTTGCTGATTACCGTAGTATACTGCATGTGTTACACATCACAAGACTCAGTTTTACTTATCGTTTCTTTCTTTAACTGCTGCACAGCTGCACCGAGGGTTCAAACAAGAGCATAAATTAACTTTGCTGAGCTCTGAAGACAGAAACCAAAGAAACATCAGAGCAGCGAGGGCGATCGAGGCTCAGTGCATACTGAGAGAGAGAGGAGGGGTGGGTTGGAGCAGAGAGGTAAAACCTGCCTAGCAACACGGATGCCTCTGCAGCCCAAACCCCCAGGGTCCACCTTTAATATTCCACCTTAAACTGCTGTCAGGTGATGAAACACCTATGCTGTTGTTTCCTCTGAGGGGGGGGTTGATCTCCGAGTTTCTTCTCATGGGGGGGGGGGGCACAGCAGACCCCCACCCTAAAAAAGCCAGAGACTGGTAAAAGGAGCAGGAGTTATTTAAAGAAACGAGCCGTGATACTTTTCTGATGACTCGTGAACAGCCCCACAAACTACAGACAAAAATATGATGGGGGGGGGCTCCCGCTGTGTGCCCCCTCCGGACCCGTGTGTGCTGGGGCCGGACCCGCTCCACCTGCAGCACTCCAGCTGCTGGTGGAGCGGCTTCTTCTTCACCTGGATGTGACAAATACAGGATGAAGAGGAGGAGGTGGGGGTGACACCGATGAGGGAAGAACGAGGGCAACAAGTGGGATCATGGAGGGGGAGGGACGGTGACGTCAGCTACTCCACCAGGTGGCATTGTGTGAGAGGGGGTAACAATCCGAATTCCTCCGCTTCCCCGGGAGTGATGCATGCAGGGAAAAAAAAGGCAGAGCTCCCTCCTCCTCCTCCATCTCTGCAGCAGCACACGGAGCTACAGCAGCAGGAGGAAGAGGAGGAGGAACAATAAGCTCAGAGGAGGCTCCGCTGTCCGGCGGCGTGTCGCAGTTTTAGCGGGAGCTGGTGAAGCGGCTGCCCGGAAGAGGAGGCAGGGGGCCGGCAGAGGGAACATGTCCTCCCCGCAGGTGTCCCGTCGGCAGTCGTGCTACCTGTGCGACCTGCCGCGCATGCCTTGGGCCATGATCTGGGACTTCACGGAGCCCGTGTGCCGCGGATGCGTCAACTATGAGGGCGCGGACCGGATCGAGTTCGTCATCGAGACTGCCCGCCACCTGAAGCGCGCTCACGGCTTCCAGGAGGCCCGCGGCGCCGCGGGAGCGCCCCCGCAGCAGCAGCCCGGGGCGACGAAGAGCCAGGCGGCCATACTAAGCGGCAAAGAGCCGCCGAGCCACCACCACCACCCGGCGGATGGTGCAGCCAAGCCCCAGCATCCCGGGACGGACCGCTACTCGCTGGGACGCTTCGACTACGGCGGCAGGCCGCCCACCGGGCTCGGAGGACCGAACGGCTTCAAGGACGACGGCCCGCCGGAGCTGAACCGCCAGAGCCCGAACTCCCGCGGCAGGACCCCCGCCGGACCGCCGTCCGCCGCCGTGCCACCCAGCCTGCTGCCGCAGACGGGCCGGGCCGAGCCCGGGGCGAAGCGGCCCGCCTCGGTTTCCGCCGCCGACCCGGACCGGGAGCTGAAGGAGAAGCAGCGCAACGCGGAGGTGCTGGCAGAGTTGAGCGACAGTCTGCGGAGCCGCCAGGAGGAGTGGGCGGGCCGGCCGAAGGCCGTGCGCGACACGCTGCTTGCGCTCACCGGAAGCACGCCCTTCGACGTCCGCTTCAAGAAGGACCACGCGCTGTTGGGCCGCGTGTTCGCTTTCGACGCCGCGTCGAAGCCCGGCGCGGAGCATGAGCTGAAGCTGTTCATCGAGTACCCGAGCGGCTCCGGGACGGTGTTCTCCAGCGCCTCGGGGGTGGCCAAGCAGATGTACCAGGACTGCATGAAGGACTTCGGGCGCGGGCTGTCGTCCGGCTTTAAGTACCTGGAGTACGAGAAGAAGCAGGGCTCCGGGGACTGGCGGCTGCTCGGGGACCTGCTGCCGGAGCCGCTGCGCTTCTTTCGGGAGCCGCTGTCCGTAGAGCTGCTACCGCAGCCGCACGCCGACGGCGGCTTCCCGCTGCCGCCAGGACGGGCGGGGGGCTCCCGGCCCGGGCTGAGGAAGAGGAAGGCCTCCCCGGAGCCGGACTCTGCGGACGAGCGGCAGCAGTGGCTCGGGGGCCCGGGCGAGGCCCTCAAGACCCCCCCGGAATCCGCCGCCGCCCCCCCGCAGAACGGACAGTCCCCCATGGCCGCGCTCATGTCAGTGGCGGACGCGCTCGGTAACGCGCACTCGCCCGGCAAGGACAGAGACTCCAGGCACGCGGCCGGCAGCCCGGCGTCCCCGGCCTCAGCCTCCGGCCAAAGGCGCCTCTCCTCCCGCAACGGGGACCTCGGGCTGCCCGCGCAGGACCAGGTGCACGCGCAGAGCGTGCCCGACTCCCCCGTGGCCAACAGCGGACCGCTGTGTTGCACCATCTGCCACGAGCGCCTGGAGGACACCCACTTCGTGCAGTGTCCCTCCGTCCCCGGACACAAGTTCTGCTTCCCCTGCTCCCGGGAGAGCATCAAGGCCCAGGGGGCTTCCGGGGAGGTGTACTGCCCCAGTGGGGACAAGTGCCCGCTGGTCGGCTCCAACGTGCCCTGGGCATTTATGCAGGGGGAGATTTCCACCATCCTGGCTGGAGATGTGAAGGTAAAGAAGGAGAGGGACCCCTGAGGAGGCGCTGGAGCCTCAAGCCCAGACTTTGTTTTTTATGTTCCCTGGATCACAGTCGAGGTTCTTCAGCCTGCCCCCCACAGAGATTCGCTCTAAGCTAAACTCAGTCAAATATTCAAACCATGAAGAACAGCAAACTGTTTCAGTCGTGTAGAGTCTGGACTGGTGATCGTGTGAAGGCTTTTCTGATTTAACACTTTCCACCTTCCTCTGTCATCGTGTCTGTTTTTGATGTGACGGAGGTCAAAGGTTGAGTTTCAACCTGGCGTCAGTAAAATAAACGAGTGTTACTGATCCAAAGCAGCGCTGACACTCAGTTTATACGTCGAGCTGCTTCCAGCTCCGTGTGTGTGTGTGTGTGTGTGTGTGTGTGTGTGTGTGTGTGTGCGCAGTAAGATCATGCATGCTATAGTTTCTGTCCAACACTCACAATCTTCTTTACTGTGAGGCTTAAAATAACCTCAATATTCTGTTAAAAGGAGTTCATGTTATTACAGGTGGCTCCTGTAGCGTTGAGTCCAAATGTGTGACCACGGCGCCGGACCGTCAGCCCGTTTCTGCATCTGTAAAGAAAACCTGATAAAAACACGTTGAAGGCTTGAAACAGATTATCGTGATGCAGTTTAATAAACAGCAGGCTCTTATTTTGAAACAAAGAAATATGTTAACATTTATAAGAAAAATGTAATCGTCCAAATTATCCAACAAACTCCGATGTGTGACATCAGAGTGATCTTTGGTTCGTCTGGCGTTTCAACTTGTGCGTTTACTTTGTGAATGAGTGGTTTGTGTTTTGTCTGTTGTTCAGGGCGATGTGCTCACAGACTGAAGCAGTTTGACTGAAACATGAAACATTACTGACGTTAGTCTGAGCCCGTGTGGATCCAGGTGTCATTCATGTTCGTCTGCAGTTTGATTAACAGTCACAGTTTGTGTCCTCGGTCCGAGTCGCCGTCACACTTCTCACAGTGAAGCTCACATCAGTTATGTTTGTTTTAAACGGTCGTAAATTTTTCCTGTTTGATAAACGAACCCGTTGACGACCGGGTGGAGAAACGTGTGGAGGGTAGGCGGCGCTCACGTTCAGCGTTTATTACCTTTGACTCTTTGTAATTATGTAAGCGCTGTATAAATCCATCATCATTATTATTATTATTAACGTCGTGGACATCATCAAGCTCGTGATCTCAGAAGGACATCAGGCTGTGACTGTTGTGAAGCAAAGGTTCGGCGATGACACTGGCGGGGAGTTTCAGGGCGTCTTTGTGCACGTTCCCACTGCAGGAAGCGGCCGGTAGGACGCCGTTTCAGGAGCGCTCGCTTTCAGTCCGTCGCTCCACGTTCCCACTCTGTGGGGCTCTTCATGAAGGGTTATTCCAGAAATGCAGCTGAAGCTGTGGAGCGCGCTCACAGCAGGTCCATACCTGTGTCAGGTGTCCTCGCTGTGAGCGTGCACACACACTCGAGCTCACGGAGCCTTTGTTAAGTTATGGATCGTGGTTTTGGTGCCTTTAACGAGGCGTCGCACAAAGATCAGCTCGGTAACGTTCTCGGCGTCACTCCTGTGGCACGTCGGCACAAGCGGGGGTGTTTGCTCATGAGCGTAAGATGATTGGACAATAACTGGCTGTGTACAGACTTGAACTTTAACCTCAGGCTTGTGCGGATGAAACGGGCGTGATGCTGTTTACAGAGCCGCTCCTCGCCTGAAACAGCTGCAGCATCAGTTCACCTCCTCTAACCCAACATGGCTGAGAGGAGGCGCGGCTGCGTTCGCTCGTGACTGATCTCTGCAGCAGCTTTGAGATGAGTCCAAACTCGCTGCAGCCGCGAGCCGTCACCGCTCAGCTGTGCGCGTTCGCTGCTCCTCATAACTCGCTTATAGAAACTTTCTGGGCTTTAAAAAACAAACTTCATAGTTGGATTCGTCCAGTGAATAAATGTTTCTGTTGCACCTGGATCCACAAAGCAAACGCAAAGATGGAGGTCAGGCTGATGAATTCTTCATTTTCAGTCAGTTTAAAACAAGTTAATCCAGAGTGTTTCTGCTGTGGACAAACTGGTTCCAGTGGTTTGAAGTGAACCAACCAAAAAGGCCTCGACTGTAGTCCCGACAGTCACCTCGAGGAACACGTCGGCTGCTCGTTTGCTGGTTTTCTTCTGTTTGGACTGGACAGGAAGTGAGACCCGTGAGCACGCTAGCTCTCTGACGGCTGTTGGAGAGACTAAACAGGAAGTTTCTTCTGCCCGGAAAGCCAACGGAGTATAATTATGCTGACGTTTCACTGCAGATGTAAACGAATAAATCAGCACAAAAACAGACGAGCAGGACGTGGAGTCATGTTTAAACGACCCTTGTGTTTCGTTTCTACCGTGTGTCATGATCTAAATGTAAAACAGAAAAAACCTTTTGTACTTGAAACTGTGTCAGATGTTTCGGGACATCAAAGAGGAAACCGTCGCCGTGCACACGCCGTCTTCCCTCCATCCAGGCTCCAGCCGAGTGTGGAGCAGACAGCTGAACTTATAAATATTCTACATGTGGATGTTTTAGAAAACGTGTTTAACAAAGAAACGAGCGTGTTGTGTTGTCGTGGAGATGAAGGCGTGGTCAGTGCCGTGGTGTTTAGGAGGTTCAGTGTGAGGCAGCCGGTAGTCACTAACACATGCTCCATTCTTACATTAGAAAGTCGTGTCTGTGAAGAAAACAACAAAAAAAGCAATTTTTCTTATTTTTATAGAAATAATTTCTTCATATTTTCATTTTGAATTGGACGTTTTGTTTCCTTTCTGATATATTTTGTACTGCAATAAGAAGCCCCTCCTCTCTGTTCCTGCCTCACATTAAGGTTCAGCTGGTTTCGTGTTTCTGTTCAGATAAAAATGAAACTAACACATTTGATCTTGTAACGTGCCTTGAAGCTGAGTCGGTTGTAATAAATTCCTTTTCTGTCAAACGTGACGTTTCTTTAATGCGACGCTCGACTTTATTTTGAAATTCTGGTGCTGGAATCGCTCACGTCCTGTGGCTAAAGGCTTCTTTCAGTAGAACCTGAGTCAGGCTGTGATGGAGCGGCTCACCTGTTTTCCAGAAGTCCAGCTAAAGTAGGAACCCTGGAGCGTCTCACTTATTGATCTTTACGTCTCCAGGAAGTTTGGATCAAATCGGGGCCTCTCGGGGAAAACAGCCACATTTCCACCGTTCACTGTGGAGCTTAAACGCAGCACAGGTATTTTCTGAATTTGTCAGCTCCTGAAATCCTGCCCTCAGCGTCTTCACACGGACGCTTTTATGTTCTTATAATTCCAACATTTGTATTTGACAAAGATGCAGATTTGATCGACTTGAAGCCGAGAGCGAAACTTTCTCTGCTGCCTCTGGGTTGATGAAGAAATGTTGACTTTACATTCACCTGAACTGTGACCTTTCCTTCGTCACCAAACGTGATCAGCATTTTAATGAAAGCTCGAGGAACTCGTCCATTTTCGGGCCGTATTGGACTGTTTGGTGGGCCAGATGTGGCCCCCGAGCCACATGTTGGAGTCACAATGTTAGAAATGATCGTGTGAGGAGCCGAGCGGCACCAGAGTGTAACCAGCAGACACACACATCAGCGTGGTTAGCATTCACACAGCGAGCTGCTGCACTGAGCCAAGGGCACCTTAGCCATCACTGTCCACACACACATAGACACACACACAGACAGACACACACACACACACACACAGACACACACACCAGGGGTGTTTTTGTTGTTCAAAGAGAAAATCTGCAATGCAGCAAGAAACTACAAGTACAGCGAGTACTGCTGTTGGTACTGCAGTAATGGTAGTACCGGTACTGCATCAGGAGTTAACGAGACAGCAAAGACTCTGATTAAAGACACGGCGTCGTATTAAGATCCAGAAACTGCATCTGCTCAGTTCACCTCTGCTGCGCTCTGATTGGCCGCGCAGCGTCTGACAGAGTGTTTTTGTGCAGCTGCAGCAGCGGCTCAGACAAAGACACCACGCTGCAGGTGTGGATTCACCGCGAGCTCAAACCTGCAGCTCGTTTCTCGCGCTCTGAGAGCGGCCTTACATGATCCTAACGGCGAGTCGGGACATCCACGACATCAGCGGCTGCTCTGAATGTTTTCACATTGTGTGGCAGATCGCGGCGTGTGGGGACGACACGGTTGCCCAGAGCTCGAGGGTGTCGCGCTCGCTGTTCTGATCACAGAGGAGGCAGCCTCTCTGCGAGCTGTCTGACTCAACCTTTGTGTTTGCAGCCATAAGTAACGTTTTATTCTTATCCTATTGACAAAGTTCACTTGCAGTTGGAGAAAGGTCATAAATTGCAATAACAGGTGAATGTGGTGGTTTCATGGATGTCTGGGGATCCCTGAGCTCTTTGTTAGAAGCCTCATGTTTATCCTGAACCACAGACACATGACAGCATCCGCTCGAAAACTGAAAAGTCTGAATGAAGTCTGGCACAGTGCGGTGAAGAACGCCAGCTTGGATCAGTCTCCATGTTCAGACACAGTTGAGTTAGGCGGAGTGGGCGGAGCCTCCGTCAGTGAGTCGGCGCTCTCGTGGGCTGAACGTGCAGAGCTAAATAAAGACACGGAGTCGCAGCGAGGTTTGATTCATCTGTCTGCACAGTCGGCTCTCTCCCCCTCCTCTTCGTTCGCTGTAGCCGTGGAGGATGCTGCTGTTGCCATGGTTACCAGCTTCACGTTTAAAGACATAATTTATTCAGGAATGTGCAGAGATGTGCTGCAGTGATCGGCCGCTCTTTAAACACCGACAGAATCGTGATCGCAGCCGTCAATAACTTCACATTTGTGCCGATAAACAAGC